ATCACATTAGCTGCACAACTGTCTCTCTGATACTAAACCCAACTTAAAGTATTTCAAATATGTTAGAATTGAGATTTCTTACACATACAGTTAAAAATATCACATCTCTGTACCAAACTAAACCTAGATGAACTGCTGACATGCTTTTTAAAATTTTGAATTCTAGCCCTAGCAATTAAGAACACAAACAACAAAATTACAGGAGCATTTACTAACAACAGGAAAAGGTCGCTTTTGTTCAGCACGTTCAAAGAGCAACACAGACCTCTAGTGGAAACATCAGTGAGCACGACTTTACTCCTACCAGCAGCAGGGTAGAGAAGTACTTTCCCTGTAACCTGATGTAAGGACCTTTAAACAGAAAACCAACACACAATTGCACACTACCTTTAATTCCTCACAGTGGAATAAGTCTTAATTACCTTAAGAGAATGAACTGACAATTTACACTGCTCCTGTTTAAATGTGCACACAACAATGTGTTTAAAACCAGGACTGACACTATTAGACTGAGCTGTTCAGTAAGTTAGTCTTACTCCTTTTTACAACACCAGCTTTACTGTGACCAAAAGTTACTTCAACTTCTAATGTGATATTCAGACTAAAATTTAGATTAAGCTTAAAAAAATCGATGAGAGAAAAACCAAACAAAAAACAGCTGGACTACACTGTCAGAAGAAAAAGCCTCCAAAATAAAATGAAACATTTTACCAATAACTCTTGACCTGCTATGATCTCTTTATATTGTAAGAATGCAATAATTCATTAACTTTTTCCAAGTTGCTAATGAAAATTAATGAAGTGTTTATGAATTATTTTTTTTAGTACTTACTTCCTCACACTTTCTTGCAGCAATTTTAAGGATTAAGTTAAGGAAGTGGATATATATCTAGGAAATTCTTACAGTCCACATTCTTGCTCAGTAACAAAAACAACAACCACAGGGCAGACAATCTACCAACGTTACAGAACTTAATGGCAATAAAGCAACATTGGAGAAGTCAGTATGTATAATCCCAGTAAAACTCTACCCCTGCTGAAGTCATCCAAAGTATTCCCTCAGGAATTAAGCAAGCATCTCTATTTTTCAGGAGCTTAGGAGATTTTTCAACTATAAGAAAAAAAAGTGCTCCTGACAAGCTACGTTGGATTCCCTGTATTAGATTCAGAAATAAAGTGAGTTAAGATATCATTCCATCTTTGCTGATCTATTCTTAACTTTGCTGTCCTAAAGCAGTGTCTATGGATTAATAAAAATATCATTCACATGTTCATCCATCTTTCAAGGGATTCTCAGCATTTTCCAAACTTTATCTTGAGCATCCAGCAATGTGGTAATTGAAAATGCATTTTTCTGCAGTCTGACAGACTGCAGTCTACCAACTCACAGCTTGATCTTTGTTCTACCCATCTTGAAATGAAACATTTCTCAATAAATGTACAGACACCAGAGTTAGTTAGTTTCAAATATATCACTGAAAGTCATTTGGACAATGATGAAAGGGTTGAATGATTTTTTTTTCCTTACAGTAGTAAGGAAAAATGCTCAACAAGTAATAAATTACTTTTCAATCTCTTTCTACTTAATGGGCAATGATATTTCCCTGGATTATTTACACTTACATCTAAAAGAAAGCATGTTGGTGTTCTGAAAACCCAGGAATTGTTTAGTCCTCAAATTGCTCAGGGAGGGAAATACTGGCTCCAAAATGCACAGTGAATTTAAAAGGAGTATCTACAACACAGAGTGGAGCACAGCACTGAAATCCTAAAATAACTAGGAAATAAGCTCCAAAACTGGCAAGACTCCACTTGAGCCAACTAATTAGCATTTCCACATGGAGTCCCAAAGAATTGTGTAGACATATTAAAGCTCACAGGGACCTCTAATGTTGCAATCCATTGCACGACACTGACACGTTCAAAGCAGTTTGCCAAGAGTCACATGCACAGTTAAGACTTAAGCTAAAACTGATATATTTTAAGGACTCAGATAACAGAGTTTCAAGAAAACATCCAGTTCTGCCAACTGTGTCCAAATTAATTGGACAAGAATACCATTAGCCAGTCCCAAAGGAGTTCTTCCTTCACACTACACCAAGGAGTTTGAACTTGTTTTTCTCCATCAAAGAGGTCAATCAAAAGTCATAACCAGCACAAGCCCAGCTCAGGTTATATCTTCTCACAGAAGCCCTTAGAGAAAAGCATAAGAATTTCCCTTAGGAAAAGAAGGACATAGATTATTACTTAAGAAGCATAAACCGTGTAACTGCTTTCTCCTTAATCCATGCTCCATGGCAACTGGTAAGGAGTATCAGACACAAAGCCTAGGACTAAAGCAACACTAAACACAACACAGTGTGCAAGAGGTTTGAGTTATATAGGCCATAACACCAACTTAAGCACATATTTGCTGTATCACCTTCAAACTTATGGGCTCCTCATGTCCTAACCTCATACAGCAGCAGAAGCCCAAGGCTTATTTCACTAACTCTCCTACCCTTCTCAGTAAGCTTCTGAGCAGGGATGATATCCTGCTCTCACCCACTAATAGAAATTGAGAGAGTCAAGGAGTGTGTGTGTCACAAGCAAAGACCTGGTGCAAGGATATGATCACTTACTTGTGATCAATCCAATTTATAAATCAAGGCAGAAACAGGAGGAAAAAAAAAGCTTGACAAAAGAATCATATCCTTGGATCATATACCTTGGATTAATCTTTTGGCATGTGTGAAACACTTTCGACTCATTCAACAAGGCTGAATGGCAGCTCTG